AAAGTTTTTTTATTTGAATTCTATGGATCCATAGAATTCAATTAAAAAAATTTCATCGAATTTGGTGGAGATATCGTTGCTCAAATTTTTTATTATCAAAAATCATCAATACATTGTTAACACATTGTTAGAACATGACCAACAAATTAAGAGATTTTTTTTAAAAAAAAAAAAATCAACAATGTATCTTTACGATGTATTTTTACACAAATGTTTTAATTTATTTTCATCTGAGATCATAACCTCTATATATTTGGTGCCAACTTCACATTTTATTTATAAAAAAAAAAAAAAAAAAAAAAAGGCAAATCTATCTATCACTACTGGGTACAACCCTAAAATACCAAATCCACCCATCCACTGCAACAAAGGACGGCAAGAACCATTGAAAACCCACGAAGAAACCTTGAAAAAACCACCCGAAAAATCACCGAAAAACGACAAAGAATCCTTGGAAAAACCGATGAAGAATCCCTGGAAGAACCACCGAAAAACGACGAAGAATCCTTGGAAGAACCACGGAAGAACCACCGAAGAATCCTTGGAAGAACCACCGAAGAATGATGAAGAATCCTTGGAAGAACCACCGAAAAACGACGAAGCATCCTTGAAAGAACCACCGAAAAACGACGAAGAATCCTTGAAAGAACCACTGAAAAACGACTAAAAATCCTTGGAAGAACCACCGAAAAACAACAAAGAATCCTGGAAGAACCACTGAAAAATGATGAAGAATTCTTGGAAGAACCACTGAAAAACAACGAAGAATCCTTGGAAGAACCACCGAAAAACGACAAGAATCCCTGAAAGAACCACCGAAAAAATCACTGAAAAACGACGAAGAATCCTTAGAAACCCCACCGAAAAATGATGAAGAATCCTTGGAAACCCCACCGAAAAACGACAAAGAATCTTTGGAAAAATCACCAAAAAATGACAAAGAATCCTTGGAAGAACCACCGAAAAATGACGAAGAATCCTTGGAAGAAGCATTGAAAAACGACAAGAATCCCTGGAAGAACCACCAGAAAACGATGAAGAATCCTTGGAAAAACCACTGAAAACCCACTGAAACTTCACGAATTTACTGAAAAAAAAATCGTCAAAAACCCTACGAATTTACTAAAAAAACTCAATGAAAACTCACTGAAAATTCACAGAAGAACCCACCAAAAAACAACTGACCGAGAATGACGAACTTACTGAAAGAACCCACAGAAAAACGAAGAATTTACTGAAAGAAACCACAAAAAATGACAAAGTTATTGAACAACCCACCGAAAAACAACAAATTTACTTGAAAAATAGTGATGACTTGCCAGAAGAACCCAACGAAAAACCTATTAAGCCTACAAAAGAACCCACAGAAAAACAACGAAGAACTTGGTGGAAGAACTTAATGAAAAAAAAACCTACCGAATCACCAAAATCTGATAATCTAAACGCGACTTCAGGAGGCTCCAACTACAGCTCCAACAACAGCACCGACGAAAGCTTTAGTGACAGTACCAACGACGACTCCAGCGACGATTCCAGTGACGACTTCAATGAAAATTCGATATAACAACTAAAAAAAAAATATTACGTTAAAAAAAAAAAAATGAAACTCCAAGAACGACGACTTCAAGAAAAGAAGCAGCTAAAAAAAGAGAAAAGTTAGTACTCGTAGCAAAAAAAAACAAACTAGTAAAAAAAAAAAAACCACTTATCCAAAAAACTGGTCCAGTCCCATTTCACTAAAGGGTGAGACGAAAAGACCTAAAGGAAGAGAGAAGTTAGTAATAGTAACAAAAAAAGAAAAAAAAAAAAAATATACTTATCTAAAGAAAATTCAAAGTATTGCGAAATAAAAAAAAAAAAAAAACAAAAAACAAAAAATCTAGATTTACCATTACCTTTAGTATTAGATCTAAATCCAGATCAAACCCAGATCAAACCCAGATCGGATCCAGATCGAAACAATCTAAAAAATGATTGGTCGATCATATAGGGGTTGCATAGCGACGGATCGCTATTTTATTTTTGCCTTATTTTTTATTTATTTTTTATTTATTTTTTAGCCTGAGATATTTTGTTGGTAGAACCAACTTTCTCCAACATATCAATAACTCTCACCTTTTAAAAACTATAACTTGTATCAGATTATAACAACTACAAAATAACCTATAGTCAACTATAATTATACTTCAGCATCTACAACCTATTATAAATAGTCTAAACAAATATACACTTAGCTTTAAGATTATTTAGCTTCTTAATTACCTAAATATATCTGTCACTGCAAACTCCAATATACAATAGTCGAATACAATCAAATACAATCTATATCCACTAGAAAAAATACTTATAAACAGCCCAAAATACATTGCTTTTAAACATCAACTAAGAAAATTAAAACTACTTTATCTTGAACAATTATGTACAGTTGACAATACTACACTTCTAGAATAAAAACATCTCTCTCTTAGAATTTTATATTTATCTAGAGGAAGAGAACCGCTATGGTTTCAAATACTTGAAGATATAGTTCTTGAAAACAAATATCAATATTCTTTATATACACATTACTAACAACAGGATGTCAACATTTTTGCTTACAACACCTACAATATCTCTAAAAAATTTAAACTATGGTTACTTTCCTTTAATAAAAATAAAATCATTATAGACAAAATTTGAACATATCATCTAGACTCCAATACATTCTCTATCATCTACTAGCAAACAAATATTAATATATATAATACTGAATTCTATCCACTCCCACTTATTAACTGCAGCCTATATCCTAACTATAATCTTAACTCAAATAGAATTATCTTAGCCTGTACTATTAATATATCAGCTATTATATCTATATAATTCTTTGATAGAATCTTTTCTAATTCAATTAAATTTAATGCTAATTATATAGACCTTATTTTTTTTACTGCTGTTAAATATCCAATACCTTCTGCTTTACTCTCTTTACTATCATCTATCTCTATCTACTTCTTTGCTGCATCTGAAATTTTTTATCCTAGTGACAAAACTAACAAATTAATTAAAATTTCATTATCTAATTCAACTCAAAACATCTTTAACTTTTATATTGATAGCTCAGTTATTAATATAGATACTAATCAGTATTCTATGGATATAGGCTAGGTTCAAATAGACAATAATAATCAAATAATTTACAAATTATCAGCCAAAACCCACTTATAGCCAACTTTTTACAAAGCTGAACTTCATCTATTTTATCTGCTATTTTGACTACTTCACACAACTTTTTTATCAATATTTATACAGATTCTTAATTTATTATTTCTAAATATACTAAGCTTAGCTCTTTAATTATTAATCTTAACAAACATCTCAAATTTAACATATAGCCTTTATAGCATATACTTCTTAACCTAATTCAATCTTTTAAATTACATATTATTTTTTATAAGATTTAAGCTCATGCTAATAATACCTTTAATAATTTAGCTGATTCACTAGCTAAACAACACAATTTTCAAATCTTTTTAGACTTTAATCACACTAATATCTACAATCTATACCATCTTTTGCAATGGGAAAATGAACTGTATCTAGTAGAATACTCCACCAGATACTTTATCAAAACTATTTATAAAGCTCATATCTTAGCTATATAGTCATCTCAAAAATGAAATAATGAATAGTCTTCACTTAATCAACAAATTGACTAGAGATCTACATGGCTTTACTTTAATTACAATCACAAATCTATATACAACCTTACCAATTTCAAACTTAATCAGCTTAAGTCTTTTAAAATTAAAACACTACTTAATAAGTTGTCTATATATTCACTTTATTATACATTATATTCCAAATTTTTTTATAGTGATAAATACTTTCATTATAATTCTTTTGACTCTTCATTATACTGACATACTTGCATTAATTCTTCTTTACTTCACCAATTAATTCTATCCACTATCATTATTCAGTTGAACTTGACATATCTAATAATGAACTAGAAAATTTAATTTAAAAAATCTACAAATATGAAGCATTCTATAATATAGCACCACAATTTTATTTATATTATATAGAGCCTATTCTTAAAAGTTTAATTCCTGATCACTAATCCAAACTATTCAAGACTACAATATTCCTTATAAGACAGCATCAAATATTATAATTAAAAATCTATTACTTAAAATTAATGAATAGTTATACAAACAAATATGAAAACCTTATTGTACAAATTTTGCTAATTAAAAAAAACAGCAACAACTAACCTTTTTATACTCTAATAATAACTCCACTCAACAACTTGATAATCCAAACTCTGATATTTTAAACCCAAATCAGCAACTTAAAAATACTAACTATATATAACAAATATATATATTCTCTTGTTTATGTGAATTACCAAACCAATTATACTCACATACTAGAGTTAGTCTACTAGTTGACAAGGCTAAAAAGAAAATTAACACTTGGTCTATACATTGGGCCAAATATAGTTTTTCATTAAATTATATCTTAACTTTAGTAACCTAGATAAGCCTTTGATCACTCTAGTAGGTTTAAATCATAGATAAATTTTTTTTTGTCTGAGCTTTTATTCTTGTATATAATTTTTATTTTCATTTGTACTAGTACAAATAGTAGCAGCTCTATAAACCTCTATATTGTTGTAGTAATCTATATTGTACTATTTCAAAAATTATCTATATTTGTTTTTTGTTACATATAGCATCTTCTATAAAGTTGTTGAGTATATATATTGGGTTTTTTGTTGAGTTGCCTGAAAGTGCAACATAGTTATATAGGTTGAATATGGTATATTTTGTAAAAACTTTAGTTAGTCAGTTTGTGAGAATTTTTGTATAAAGTTTTTTAATGTATTCGATTAAGCTGATTGGTTGAATATTATTAAGGTTGTCATCAAATTGTAGTTTTTAGAGATGAGATATATTCTGCCATCTTTTCATTGTTTGAAAATGTTTTATATATTAATACATCTATTAAAGAGTATAGTAATAGCCTATAATATATTATATCTAATATGTTTAAACATTTCATAATTAACTTTTGATAGTCTATACACTTTGTTGTTGAGTAACTGTTGAATTGTTTGTATAACTTCTTCTATGCTGATTTCTTTAAATATATGATCATACCATTCTGTTCTTATTTCTGGTTTAGGTTGGTATTCATTTTTTTAGTCTTGATCAAAAATTACATTATTATATAGATGATATAATATTCATTTATCATAGTGGTTATATATATATTGTTTGATTTTATTTGGATTGTTAATAATATCTGTATCAGTTTTAATATTCTCAAAGTATACAGAATCTTTATGTCTATTAAGTATACTATTTATTATTTTTGTTAGATTAGTGAGTAATTAATCGCATCTGTTGTTAATGGCTAGGTTAATATGTTGTCTTAGATGTTATACATTTTTAAGATTTCTTGCATTATATAAAGTTTTTCAGTATTCTTTAGTTTCTTGTATCTATAAGGCTAGATCAGATTGGTGGTGTGATGAAGCATTAATTGTAAAGTTATATTTAGTGTTGAGATTATTAATTAGATCTAATATATTATTAGATATTGTAATATTATATGTGAAAAGAGTGTAGTGACTTTTTGTAGTAGTGAAGTTGTCGCACCCAAGTGGCAGCGATTAGAGTTTGAATTCTACTGACAGCAAAAATTCAAATTTCAGAATATATTACAGCAGATTGTAAATGTAATTAGACAGATTGGTATCTGTAATCTGGTTGTACCAGTTGTACTGAGAGGCTATAGAATGTAGTATAACGTATGAGTTATACAAAACTCAAGTGAAACAGTTGTGTAAATTCAGAGTTAGTACACATGAGAGCCCACTTGCAAGATCTGAATAGAAAGGTAATACAGATCTTTGATGGTACTACATAAAGAATTATTAACTAAAAAACTGAAAAACTAAACAGGACTGAAGTATTTGGCAAAGCACTTCACCAACCTGGCTGCCAAAGAGTAACTGGAAGAAAAGGACCCAACCGTGGGGAGCCGAAGCAGATCACAGCCCTTCTGAGCCATC